CTTTATTCGTTTGACCTTTCCATCCTCCGTGGCACTCACAGGTGTTTGGCAGCATCTGTTGTGGTAGTTGAAGGATTTCAGGTCAATGAGATGCTCTTGGTTAGGGGCGGAGTCCAACCTGTCAATTAAGTAGCAGCTTCAGGACACCTGTTGGTGGGCGGGGGTGGCCTTTTGCATGACTGAGGGCCTCTGGGAACTGGGGCTCTCTCTGCCGCTTCACCTTCACCTTTACAGAGACTTTGTTGGGACTCTGTGTCTGCCTCCTGGGGTGGCCCCATGTGGGCTGCCTACACCCCCCTCCCCCCCAGAGCTGTGGGTGCCCTGCTGTGCTTCCATTGGCTTTGGACCCGGGTGACTGCACCCATCAACTGGCCTGTGACCTCGCTTCCTGCTTCCTTGAGTCAGTGGCCTGCCTCTCTGAGAGTCTGAGGAGGGTCCAGTTAGCATCGGCTCCACAGACTGGAGTCCGACAGTGCCGGGAGCCCGTCTTGATGTCAAGTGGGCTCTTGACAGAAATCTCTTTCTTGTACAGAGACGAGTGTCAGTGGTCTGTTTCTCTGGACAACCCGACCTAACCCATCTGTCAAGTGAGTTTCACACTTGACAGCTCTACAATGCCCTGATGCAGGCAGACAAGTGGAGGGCTGGATTTAGCAGATCCAGATTTAAATACTGCCTATGCCACTGATTAGACATGTGTCCTGATAAGTTACTTTGTCCTCAATTTACTCACCTAAACATGTAGTGAACATATCTTACAAAGCTATTGTAAGGATTAAATGAGTGAAGAGAAAAAGGGAAAAAAAGACCAAATTAATAATTGACCAGTATATGCCCCAAACCCATTGTTTTCCAGTGAATTGACTTCTCTCTCTTTGCTGCCATCAAATCAATTCTGACTCCTGGTGACCTTATAACACCAAGTAGACCTGCCCCTGTGGTTTCCGAGACTGTGAATCTTTATGGGACCTCCTCTTTCTCCCACGGAGCGCTGGTGGTTTAGAACTGCTGACTTTGCGGCTGCAGCCCAATTATGATCCACGGTGCCACCAGGGTTTCTTAATTCTGACTCAGGACAGTGACAACAGAGTAGAGCTGTCCTGTAGGATTTCCAAGACTGTAAATCTTTAACAAATCAGAAGATATTGTCATCTTTATCCCTCCGGGTAGTTGGTGGGTTTGAACCAACAACCTTTAGGTTAGCAGCCCAATGCTGAACCCACCTTGCCATTAGGCTCCTAAAGATATTGCTGTGTCAGAAGTGGGATTCAGTTCCCATACTTCTCTCTTCTGAGACCAGAATCCCCAACCAGAGGAAGTATAACTTGAATCTGGCACCTTAGACACCAGTCACAGTACAAGGGCCAACCCCAAATCAGGTTAACAACAGGTTGTTCTTTATCTATAACACACACACACACACACACACACTCTTTGGTGTTCATCTTCACTTGGGTTATTGTGTCTATTGCTTTGCCTTTAACGGTGGTTCTCAACCTTTAATACAGTTCCTCATGTTGTGGTGACCCCACCCCCTCACCATAAAATTATTTTCATTGCTACTTCCTAACTGTAATTTTGCTACTGTTATGAATCAGGGGACCCCTGTGAAAGGGTCATTCGACCCCCAAAGGGGTCGCGACCCACAGGTTGAGAGCTGCTGTTTAAGCCCTCAGTCCATGTGTCTTACCAATAATAACAGCAAAATCTAAGTCTCTGACATGATCTGACTAGTTCCTGCTGGACCCCCCACAGGTATAAGCCTTATAAAGTTCTTGATGTGATTTACCTGGAAGTAAAAATATCCCCCTCAAGCACAATATGGTGGTTTCAATTTGCCCTCCGTGGCACCAATCTCTTCCAAGGTCTGGGCGTAATAAATGCCCAAAGGCCATTCAAATGTTACCCAGATTGAAAGGCAATAGCATGAAACCATCTTTGGGAAAAAACCCACAAAACCACAACCCATCTTTGAGCTGAGCATGAAAATCGTGAACAGAGGTTAGAGTAAGGCTTCCAGTTTGGTAAAACACCCCCTCCACACATCCATACCCCACCACACACACCCTTACAGCACATAAGGGTCAGAACGATTCCATCTTTAATCATTTATTATTTTTATTTGGACAACGTATATACATATGTACAAAATACCTTCTGTCAGAATCCTCTTTTATAATTTCATTTGATTTACAAAACTGGACAGCAAAATAACTTAGGTTACTAGTACTGTACAAAAATAAAACTGATTAAACAGTTGTAAGGATCAGTATCTTACAGTGTTACAGATCACTCTGTTGTGAAAGGACAGCTCAGTCTCTCCAGAGTGATGGGCACTGTGCTAACTCTATCTGCAAACTGACAATTATTCGGTTTCTGTAATTATAACTACCGGATATAAGTCTCAAAAGAAGCAAGATGTGGAGCTAGACCTTCAAGCCTGCACATCGTTCCACACTGGTGAATGAAGGGCTTTCTTCGTCCTAAACCAAGGAGAGGAGTTATCTTAACTCTAAAACTATGAAATTTTCCAGAATATGACAACTACTGACAGAATTAGAGAAAACAATGCTTCTTTCTCTTTTTAAACACCTGCGATAGATAGTCTTTCAGAAATTCAGTTTGGTTAAAAAAGTAAACAAAAATTACTATCCTGCATTTGGATTTTTTTATAAGTTAAATCCATGGTCTTTTTAATATAAAAAGTAATTGCTCCATAGTTTTAGTGTTCAATGAACTCTAGGAGTTCTATTTGAACCATATATCCTGATAGAGTAAATCTAATTAGAATGCTGGTTCCTGTTTTGTGATGTTTTAAAACAGGATTTATCACAAAGAATAAAAAGCCTTGAGTTTATACGTTATATTACCACAACGTATAAGAGAATATCAAATGTGTTTCTCAACAACTTGTAAAGGCAAGTAGCAACTATTTTGGGAAATAAATTGTGCATTATTTTTTAACAAGTTGTTGCATTTATAATCCAACTAAGTGCTCAACAAAAGCTTCATAGATTTACTCCTGATACTGTAAAGATTGTCTTTCACCGACTTTGCTTTGTTTTTCTTCCTTTTTTTTTTTTTTTCCTGTGAGGGAAAGATGAGTTGTTTCCAAGTTAGCAAGTTGCTAGGCAACCCCAAACTCCTCACTCCCTAAAAGGCAGCATGCAGAGTATCCTAAGCAGAACCGGTCCATGAGTTCAGTAAGGAATAGGCGGCCCACCTATTTCGTATGGAAGAACAGATGTCCTTAAAACTTATTTTGGACACAGAAATGAAAATTTGGTTTAAAATAAGCGTTTCAAAAATCTGAAACAGAGGTAGAAAGTGTTCTTTATTTTCCTGACATGTTTTCCACGAGAAAACACTTTCCTTTTTATCCCCTGGACTGCTCCCAGTCCCTATGGTAGCGGCAGTTCTTTACAGAACCAGTAATACAACTACATTGGTTACAAAGAAGAACTAACAAGACCGCGCTCGCGATGGCTGTTGTATTAGAAGCCGGGGCCCGCCGCGCGGGACCCGTGCCTGGTTCCAGGAGCCCACACTGATTCTGAAACGAGCATGTATTTGTCAGGTGAAATAATGAGTCCACTTATAGGTCGGCACCTGCGTTTACACAACATAGCACATGTGTAAACTCGAGAGTGCCCTAGCTCCCTGTTTAAATGATCCGATAAAATCGCCCGAAAGCATGATTTCTGAAGAGGAAAAACGAAACGAAACGAAACAAAAAAAAATATATGTAAACATTTCCCCCACGGTCACTGCTGACTCCCCTCAGTTGAGGTTTTTTTTTTTTAGTTGTTGTTGTTTGTTTGTTTCCTTCACGATGAAAACTTACTTTTTCTGGCCAGCGAGAGGCCAAAGTCAGTTCTCAGGTAAATGGCGTATGATGGATGTAGCAGTGGTGTACAGCCCCCACAGACACCTAGACACCGAGTAATGAGGCTGCTGACGGACAGCGGACAGGGCCTGCTCTCAGCACCTGCATCCCTTGCGCCTGCGTTCTCCAAGTGGGACGATGCAGCGGGGCCTCCTAGGGGAAACCGCCCTGGTTGTCCTCACCGCGGTCCGCTCTGGCAGGGCGCCGGCTTTCTTCTCACATTGCTGTTTGCATAACTCTTGCACCTGTTAGTGGGGGGTTTGTAGGAACGTGGAAAGGCCGCCAGCAAACCTGCCCCCCACCCCACCCCCCAAAAAGAAAGAGTCATTTCCAGAGCTAGAGCCCATTCTGCACGCATCCCAATAAAACCCAGCAGGGTAACAGCCCTGCGCCCTTTTAGTGGCATTTCAGTACGACAAGATAAACTGGAAGAAAAAAAAAATCGGAAAATTCGGAAGTTAATAGAGTTAAAATCGTTTGTTCTTTGTTGTTGTTGTTTGAAACACTACCCTCCTCCTTCGGCATCTGCTATGTGTATTCTGCCGTCCCCCCTCTGCCATGATTTCTCAGGGAAACCTGTATACTGTAAAAAAAGAGAAAGCGTATTATAGCACGGTGCCAAGCAGAATGGCTGCTTTTATCCGTAAAGCGTGCATTTCCCGTCTCCATCCTCTGCATCAGAAAACGACAGTGCGGCGTCTGTTCGAGAAGTACACGTCACACAAAGCCAGGTTTGAGAGTTCGGTCCTAAGTGCCACGGGTCACAGGTGGGTCGGGCGCAGTAGGCATTCAGACTGCGTCCGGGGCCTCTTCTGGTTGGCGGCCGTTTTCAAGTCTGTAGATGAGGGATCATGCTGGAGTAGATGTGCTCTGACTTGCATCAAGACAGCTGTGCTAGGGCGTTTCTTTTGTCATCTCAAAAGTTCGTGTGATTTTAAGAGAGTGGTTTTGCTAAGGAAACTGAAGCAAAACAATTCGGAGAGTCGGCAAGCAGAAACGGGCCCAGGCGAACTGCGTGGTCACCACGGGCCGGCTCACCCAGTCCGACGTATGTACACCAGGGTCGAGCTTTGAAACCGCAGTCTTGGCTGTGAACCCCCCCTCCCGCCCAACCCCCCCTGCCCCCGGAAAAGAAAGACAACGAAAACGGACCAAGACAGAAAAAAAAAAAAAATTAAACAGCATCCGCCTTTCCCTCCAACAGTCAGAGACCGGTTCAGAGAGGTGCCTCTGCCAGGGGGCCGGAGTTGACCTTGATCTTGGGCTACCATGTGCTTTGAAAAAACAATGCAGGGAGAGGAAAATCAGGATTATTGACCCAAGAGCCGTGACTTCCTGTGCGTCAGGGTGCCTCTTAGTTTCCACCAGGCCTCAGGGTGCACGTTGTCCATCTGCTTCCTGGGAATAGTTTTGTCTTGCCGGGCTCCATCGCTCCCTGGCACCCAGGGGAAGGGGTGGGGTGGGGTAGCACCTCACAAGGGGTTAGCCAGCGCCTTTTTCGACCGCTTGATCATACTGGGGTGGAACTCCGTGTGGCGCCGCGCGTGCTTGGTGAGGTGGTCGCTCCGCATGAAGCGCTTCTCGCAGAGCGGGCAGCGGAACTGCTTCTCCCCGGTGTGGGTCCTGTAGTGGCGCGTCAGCTCGTCGGAGCGCGAGAACTTTTTAAGGCAGTCTGGCCAGGTGCAGGGGAAGGGCCGTTCACCTGAGCAAGGGAAGGAAGACGGGAGACCGTTGGAAGAATGTTTCAAAACCAGTCTGAAGAAAGGAAAGCAAAACAGGATCCCCCCAACACACACACATACACCCATCCTGAGTGCCACCCGCAGTCCACTCTCCCCACACACACTCATCCTGAGGGTCACCCACAGGACCCCCACACACACCCCCATCCTGAGGGCCACCCGCAGTCCACTCCCCCCCCACACACCCTTATCCTGAGGGCCACCCACAGGACCCCCCCCCACACCCATCCTGAGGGTCACCCACAGGACCACCCCCACACACACACCCCTATCCTGAGGGCCACCCGTAGTCCACCCCCCCCACACACATCCCTATCCTGAGCGCCACCCACAGGACCCCCCCCACACACACCCATCCTCCGGGGCCCCCACAGGACCACCCCCACACACACACCCCTATCCTGAGGGCCACCCGCAGTCCACCCCCCCACACACATCCCTATCCTGAGCGCCACCCACAGGACCACCCCCACACACACACCCCTATCCTGAGGGCCACCCGCAGTCCACCCCCCCACACACATCCCTATCCTGAGCGCCACCCACAGGACCCCCCCCCACACACACACACTTCGGGTGCTACCCAAAGTCCACCATCCCTAGACTCAAGAGGGCCAGCCTCCTATGTGTGGAGGAGGTAGTCACCTTGACGAGGCAGACGGCCCTGCTATTTGTACCCAAGAGCCCCCCAAAGAGCCCGCGGTGTTATTTTCCTTCGGCTTTATGTTTTGCAGCGTCAGGTGCATGAGTTCGCTGAAGAGGTCCAAGAAGTCGGCCTTCTGCTAAATAAAGGTCTTGGCACCTGGGAGATGGAGAAGATGGGCCCCCAAACCAGCAGCCCTTTCCGAAAAACCAAACGTACTGCCATCGAGTCCATGCCAACTCGTAGCAACCCTATAGGACAGGGTAGAACTGCCCCTGTGGGTTTCCGAGACGGTCCCTCCTTCCTGGAGTAGAAAGGGCACCTTTTCTCTGGGCTAGTGGTTTAGAATTGCTGACCCTGCAGGTAGCAGGTCAATGTGTACTCACGCTGCCACAGCACCCCTTCTTACCCTCTGGGGCACACGCTCCTGGGGACCAGGCCACCTGGCCTCTGTCTGGTCCAGGGTAAAGGCAGCGAGCCCCCAGAGCTTGGTTTTCTCTTAAGCATCTTGGTCCTCCACGCCCTTTTATTGATATGCAGCCTGCCTATCTGCGAAGGCCATATTTCAAGTCATATTGTCTTCTCGCTAAAAATAAACCTGTTCCCTCTGTCACGTGGCAATCCTTTAAATATCTGAAGACAGGGATTTGTGGCTTCCTCTCATCGTCCCCTCTCTAAACAAAACAATCCCCATTGTCTTCTCCATCCTTCTCGGAAAATGAAAACCAATACAGAACAAAACGAGATCAGCATACACGTGTCGGCCCAGCCCCAGGAGCTTCACGGACGGACGTCACCCCGTTGCCTCTCACGGGGTGCTCCTCAAAGTGGCCCATTGCACAGATGTGGAAACAGAGGCCTGGGACCGGCCTGCCTGCCTGCCCCAGGTCACAGGGCTAGAGAAGGGGTAGAAGCAGGAACTGGGCCCCATCTACCCGCTCCAGATCCGATGGGACCTGCCTTTAGTGGATTGTTTCCAAATCCCACCCCATTCTGACCATTGTCCTTGGATTGGCTCTCTGAAGCCTCTCACTGAAGATGCTGCTAAGTCCTGCCCTCCCCAAATGACCTGGTCAGCTCCACACCAGGGGCCCCTGTCACCAGTGCCAGAAGTGAGGGCGGCGGCCGGGGGAAGGCTGAAGCTGCCTGGAGGAATGAGTGCAGTGGGCAGGCTCCCTTTGGGAGTGACTGCTCGCCCCTCCTCCCTGCCACTCACACCTTTCCAAGCACAGCTCAAAGCAGCTGCTTCATAGATAGACTCAGGGCACACAGACTCCTCGTTTCCGCCCAACTCTCAGACGCTCCTTCTGTAGGTGTGAGGAAAGCATTCTTTTCTCGCCCCCGTCTCCACCTGCCTGGACCCCGGAGAGCCTTGTGGATGCTGGGTGCTGCCTAGCTCGGTGCATCTGAGTCACGCAAGAATCATTCCTCCTTTTCCCAGGGCTTCTCCCACCTTGTACCAGCGAGATGTTAGCGATTATGATGGCAATAAAGCAAGCTCCAGCCCCTCAGTGAACAATGTCTACATGACTAAGGTTGTATTGGCTGCTTCCTAGCAGTCCTCGTGGTGGGGTGCTCAGGAGTTAGGTTGCTAACTGCAAGGTTGGCAGTTCCACACCACCAGCTGCTCCCAGGGAGAAACACGAGGCTTTCTGCTCCGGCAAAGAGTTACAGTCTCAGAAACCCACAGGGGCAGTTCTATCTGGCTTATAGGGTAGCTATTAAGTCAGAATCAACTCGATGGCTGTTTCTCTGCTTGTTTTTGAAGCAGCACCAGGGAGCTTAGCACCTAGCATAACCCGCTTGTTCTGGTGGGAGAGCCAAGGTGGGCAAAACGAATGTGGGGGCAACGGATTGCCTTGATGCGGCTTTCGTTCAGAATCATCCCTGGGCTCTGAGTTGCAAAGCTACAGCAGCAAAAGGTAGCAAGGAGCCATGAATGCTGGGCCTGAGCCAAGGGGGGTGAAGGTTAGGGTGAGCGCTGCATGCGGGCATTCAAAGCCCTT